CCATTTCTTCCCTTGTTTCTTTCTTTCTTGGGTCCCTTTATTCCTCTACAGCAATCCAGCTAAGCATGCAGCCAGCTCAGTGAATAGGCCCCGATGTGTCGTTCAGCTGGGTCACTGATGGAGGAGCAGCAGCTCCTCTCTAGGCTCATTGTAAGGGGCCCTGTGGCTTTGGTGGGTGACAGGGATCAAGCACTCCCCGCATCCCTGTGAAGGAGGTGTGCATGGGTGTGGGTCATGTTGTGCTGGCGTGAGCGGATGGAGCTGTGCAGCGAAGCTGTCAGCGGCAGGGCGGGGGGCCAGGCAGCATGCAACAGCGCCTTGAGGGGTACCAGCCCAGAGCTGGCGCTTGCAGAGGACTTGAGACCCGGTGTGGGATGGCTTGCAGGAAGCAGCGCTAAACAAGGGTGAGCCAGCCAGCAAGAGGACAGGTCTGGACTGACTTCCACGTAGTGTCAGTCCCACTGTGACCAAAGCTGGAACCACTTTGCAGTTGTGATAATACTTCCTCCATGCTCCCTGGACCACAACTGATTGTAGGAGCAATGCTTTCATGTAAAAGGGCCAGCATACCATTTAGTGACCAAAGGGGACTAGGCCTCATACTTATTACCTGTACATATCGCTCCCTGCTTTTTGTTAGATCAGCTGCTCCGAGTTCTTTATTTGGGTTTTCATACTGCATCCCATGAACAGAGCCAGATGACACTTTTGACTGAAAAAATGCATCAAAATCATTTTTTTTCCATGGGGCAGTGGCAGCTTTATCAACAAATTTTGATTTTTCGGATTAGGGAACTCACAATGAAAAATGTGGCTGACGGTCACAACGGTGTGACAACGCAATTGCCTTCACTTCTACATCTTTTTCTTAGTCAACCTTTTGTCCCCCTTGTCCAGTGTCCAAAGGGGAAAAGTAAAATGGAAAACAGGAATTGCTGATTTCCAAACACCAAAGAGGACGTTTTAAGCTGAACTGCACGTCCTGTTAAAAGTAGCTGGTGGGTTTTTTTTCCATTTGTTGGTCTGTTTGTTTTGAACTATTGCTTTGAATGGAAAAGGAGGAAAATGTTCATTTTTAAAAAACAGTCCCCTAGACAACACTAATGTTTGGGGTGAAAAGAAAAGTCAAAAGGAGGTTTTATTCCACAAAATTGTCCAGAAAAAAACCCATTGCCATTGCAACCCTCTTTAGTTATCCAGGGACTGATTTTGCCTGTATTATAATTTAAACCTGTACCAGCTCAGCTCCCATTGCATCGTTCCCCACCACCTTCCCCTAATCAACCCTGACTGAGTCTTGGCTGCAGGGCAGCCACTCCAGCAGCTCAGAGGAGCATGCCTGAAAAAGATGGAGTGGGAGATAAAAGCCAGAGGGCAAAGTTGTAGACGATATCTCCTGGCTATCGTGCAGAGCGATGGGGAAACAACCAGAGGAGAGTGCACAGAGGTGAAGAAGATTGTGAAGAATTGGAGAAAGCTAGGATAGTAATGTGCTGGCAACACCTCAAGGACAAGAGACAAATGATCCGTCGCTCTGTATGTAATAGTGTGGGGACTAACCAAGAGGGGAAGGGGAGGCCTAGCACAGCTCCCAGGGAAAAAGCAGTGGAGCAGAGCTGAGAAAACCTACCCATTGGGTTTCTCCTTTGAGACCCTGCTTCCCTCACTACTTCCGTTCCCTTCCTGCTCTCCAGAGATTCGGACTCTGACACCCACCAGCACTCAAGTACCTGGGACTCGCTCTTTCTTTGCTTGCCCAGTGCTGTCTCGCACACCACTGTCTGGTTCGTGCTGTATTTGTTACAGCTACAGAGCCGGGAGATCGTTCTCTGAATCACCAGCCAATTATTTGGATGGCATTGCGCTAACACAGAGGGAGATAATGCAGTCCCGGGAGCTGAAGCAGAGTTAGCTTTTTATGTGAAGCTCTGAGCTGTGAAGCACTGATGATATGTTGGAAGCTAGCTGAATCCCTTCGTGCTGGCTGGGCTCCTCTTTTGCTTTCCAAATTCTTACTGCTCTTTGGTAGGAGCTACATGAGAAGAGAAGAAGAAACAGGCATCTCCTTAAGGAAATGGAGCTGCCAGCAGGGAAGATGCCAGCGGAGGGAAAGGAATGGGAAAATCAGGTAGAAAGTCTATGGGGCTAGGGTTGGGGGAAGCCCAGTGCAGAACAAGCACTGTAATAGAAGTGAATGAGGCTTAGCGCTCACTAGGCACAACAGCGAAGGGCATGCATGAGGACAGGAGGACAGAAGACCCTGGAGAGGACATGCAATGAAGGGTGAAAGACCCCATAATTATCCTTTCACAAAGCCAAGGCAGCTCTGCAACCCCACAAACACTCTCCTAAGGCCACCTTTGCTGGCACGCAACTGGTGCGGCTGTCCCCCGGCGGTTCGATCCCGGAGAACAGGACGGGATGCAGCCGGCGCCATAACATACAAGTGGGTGGAAGTCCACAAGTCACTCTGTCTGCCACGACATGGTTTACACAAGGAAAAAGGCTGAGAACCTCTGTATTATGGAGCACAAGGGAGACAATAAAGGCGTGGGCAAAAAATAAACAACAATAAATATTTTAAGACCCGTGCTGTTCCTGACAGCTGTAGCAGGCATATATCAAAAGCTCCTACAAAGACTGGAAATTTCATTAAGATGCCCACAGTCCTTGGACACGTGTGGAATTATGATACTCCTCATCCTTTCATGTGTCAAAATCCTCTAAGCCTCAACTAGCTTAGAAAGTAGTTTATAATAGATCGGAGATTTTACATCTTCTTAATGCTACCGTATAGGGTATTTTCATCTGGATATATTAGACTGATATAGCACATTCTTTATGGTGATCGTTGCTTGATTAAAAAAAATATTTCCTCTGTGTCAGGCACTTTCGGTCTTTGCATATCATGAATCAGTTTGTCATCTGTGCTGCAATAAAACAACAGATGAAATTAACCCCACCCCCCAAAAAACAACAGACAACCCCCAAACTCCCCAAATCTCAGTGATTTTTTGCGGTGTTGCTATAGTCCCATTTGGGCATGAGTCCTTGGTGCCACTATACCAAGGCATCCTAACCCCACCCCGCAAAAGAAAACCCCAGACAACCCCCAAACTACCCAAATCCCAGTGATTTTTGCAGTGTTGCTATAGTCCCATTTGGACATGAGTCATTGATGCCACTATATCGAGACATCCTAACCCCACCCCGCAAAAGAAAACCCCAGACAACCTCCAAACTCCCCAAATCCTGGTGATTTTGCAGTGTTGCTATAGTCCCATTTGGACATGAGTCATTGATGCCACTATATCGAGACATCCTAACCCCACCCCCCAAAAGAAAACCCCAGACAACCTCCAAACTCCCCAAATCCTGGTGATTTTGCAGTGTTGCTATAGTCCCATTTGGACATGAGTCATTGATGCCACTATATCGAGACATCCTAACCCCACCCCCCAAAAGAAAACCCCAGACAACCTCCAAACTCCCCAAATCCTGGTGATTTTTGCAGTGTTGCTATAGTCCCATTTGGACATGAGTCTTGGTGCCATTATACCGAGGCATCCATCCTGCTGTGGAGAGAATGGGGCATGAGTGAGTAATGACTGAATGCAATGAAGACCTGGAAGTCTTCCTTCAAAGTTTGAAATTTTAAAGCACCAAATTATTTCTCAGATTAAATAACCAGTCTATTCATTCTTGTTTCTTTTCCTTTGCAAAGATATATAGAAACATATAGATACAGCTTTTCCCGTGCACACACGTGTGCACAGAGCAGCAGAACTGACAGAGTCATTTGACCCTTCTGCCTCAACAGCATTAGTAGTGATCACTTAATTGGAAACCTGGCAGGTCCAGCTTCCCATTTGTGAAACTGAGACATGCCAGTCAAGGGGGATTCAGGGCAAGGGAGGACACGTGCCCCCCAGGTCATCCTTTGCCTCCTTCAGACAAGGCGAGTTACCTGACACCTTGAAGGATGCATTAGTTGGGCCAACCTTGAAGAATAATACACTTAATAGCAATGACCTAACTGACTGCAGCTCATTTTCCAGCCTTCTGTTTCTTGGCAAGAAAGAAGTTGATGGCCTCCAAGCTCCAGCAGTACCCTAGCCTTTGCCAACTTCTTGTGCTCCTCTGGTCTGGGATACAGACCTAAGCCAGCCCAGCTTGCTCAGATGGAAACATCTCCTGGCTTTAGGCATGGAGCTAACCTCTATATGGGGTACGACTGGGTATCTTTGCAGCTGCTGAGATCACTGATCATATAGCACTGAGGTCATGTAGAGGAGAATCAGAGGGTAGCAAGCAGATGGATCCATTTGTTCCCATTAGACAGAGCCTGCAGAGTTACGATGTCCATCAAATCTCGAGCTCATCACCCAATCCCTTTACCCTACACTGGTGCAGTTTTAGCTCTTGTTTCTCAAATCTACACCGGATTCACACAAGTGTAGGGTTGGATGGACACCATCTGTTCACTCCTTGTATACCCTGGTGGAAAGCTTAATTGCACTGGTAAGGGGAGCATGTTGTGTGTGCATGCTCTAGACATGACATTTCAGACCCGGTGAACCCCTGCAGCAACGCTGGTTAAAATCTACTGCATATAGAGAGAGGTGCAATAAAAATTAGCCAGTTTATATTTGTGGTGGATGTGGTCCAGTAGTAGAGATGTGGGTGCATCAGAAAAAAAGCATGAGGTTTTATTGTAGTGTATTAAAGAGAGCAAGCTGAAATAGTTCAGGGGAACTAGCCATTTAGTCAGAAGAACCGGTGAACAGTGAGAAAGTGGCCAGCAGTCAACCAGTTCTCTTCAGGACAAGATTTGTGCTAGAGCAATTGGGTGACTTTAAAGAGTCAGAACCTGGATTATGCCTAGGCTTAAAAAGTGGACATGGATCACCCAAGATCACACCTCGTGTCTTCATGCCAAGCCTACTTCATGCAATGCCAACTTCAGAGGATCCCATGTAAGACAAACTCATTTATCCGGAAACTAATATTTCTTTTATTTGGGGATAACACTCTGGGTTGAGGGTTTAAACCAATGACTCTCAATGGATGCCATGACATCCTTGGAAAGATGTTGCAGAGTCCAAGGAAGCAGCTGTAGGCTCGTCTCTGCCGGACCACTCCTTCTCCCTCTTCTGCTTATCCAGCTCATGTAATCACTGTAATAAATACATTCATTTTTTAAATGAGGTGCTGCTCAATTCATCAAAGGTATGGAGGGTGATAACTAGGAATAATGGCCACAAATCGATTGAGAGCAAGTTCAGGCTTGATATCGGGAGGTATTACTTTACAGTTAGGGCTGCCAGGGTCTGGAACAGGCTCCTAAGGGAGGTGGTGCTCTCCCCTACCCTGGTCTTCAAGAGGAGGTTGGATAGATATCTGGCTGGGGTATTATGATCCCAGAGCTCGTTCCTGCCCAGGGCAGGGAGTTGGACTTGATGATCTGTTCAGGTCCCTTATGACTCTAGAAACTATAAAACTATAGGGGGGGTCTGTGGTCTAAAAAGGCTGAGAACCACTGGATGAAATGGAAATCAGTGCAGACCCCTCCTGCCCAGCGAAATGCAGCACGCTGCATTAAAAACAGCCCTGAGAGTGCGGTTTTACAACCGATGTGTAGGGTCTTGAGTCTTTCCTGAACCGGAAAGGTTGCTGCAGTGCTTACACATTTTGCTTATTATAGGATGAAATCAGTCTCTGGGCACTCAGAACCACGATTCTTCTCCTTCTCCCGACTCTGATGCAGTCCAGTCTGGACCACTCACTGTTTTGGGGAAAGTCTCCTCTGAGCTGAAATGCCCTACCACAGTGACCACGGTGTGGTCACATTCTCCAGGCGGTCTCCTGTAATCAGGAAACACTGCATTTTGTGGGGCAGACAGGCTGGAGGCTTGCCGTGCTGTTCTTTCCACGCCACTGACTGGATAACAGGACTAATAAACAGGAGTTATCACTACAGCCAGTCACAGCTCTCTATCACGTATGGTTTTAGGACCTGAGTTTGATCCCAGGCTGGTATAACTCCAAGGGTGTCTCCTGAATTATAACTGTATAAGAAGGAGTGAAATGAAATTACAGAGAAATGTTACACGTCCCCCCACCCCCCCAAAGTATAGTATCTTGCAGTACAGATCCAAACTGCTGCAGCTTGCAGTAGTGTGACAGTTGGAGATGGAGATGAGAGTCGAATACAGTAGTATATTTGATTAGAAAAAGCCCACTGCTTCCATAGCACGGGGACTAGAAAAGTCCCATTAGGTCATGCCAAAGAGATTTCTCCACTTCGCTGTGGTATTCACAGAAGCACTGCTTTTCAACCAGCCCTTGTTTCTCCTCGTGTACTATCCTTCACGGACATAACGTTTCCTGGACTGAAAGCCATGTGACAGGTAGGCTGCGCTGTGGGTATTTAAATACCAGGCTGATTCATGGAGCGCCCGTCTCCCACCCCTCACTTTCAGAGGTCCTCAAATTTCAGCCTTGCATCTCCGATCGTAAGTCTACTTCCCCATTTTAATAGCACTAAATGGACTCTGTGAGGCTGCCCTTCTCTGCTCCCTATGTCTTCCGGGTCATACATGCTTAGTTTACTGACAGACACGAGTTTTCACTGCTGTCAGCACTGCAGAGCCTAGGTACCTGCAGAGCAGCAGATTGCCTGCTCCCTTCTTCCTTATGCTCTGTCGAGGGATGGATGGACACCTGATTTTCGATCCCTGAGGGTTTTTCTTAGGGCTTCTCTGTTGGTGCATTCAACACGATGCTGAAAGAAAATGCAGAGAAAGAGCATGATGAATATTTGCACTCTAGTTTGGAGTAGTAGAAACAGCAATTGCAATAGCAGCAGTCATAATAACAGCAATAGCAGTAATAATAATAATAGTCCCAGGATCTATTAAAATATAGAAGTCTGATTCTCCTCTCATTGAAGCCTGTGCAAATCAGGGGCACTTTCTGCAACCTCACTGGCAAACCACTGAGAAAGTAGATTGATGTGCACGATGCATGCAACTGTGCATCTAATTTGCACATGCAGTCACCATAATTGTGTCCCCCGGTCAAATCATTGCACGTGCAATTAAGCAGAAGCGGTCGTTTGCTCGGGCAGCTGCCTGACTTGCGAGCACAGTCCCAGTGATTGCAAAGAGGCAATAAGGCAGGCAAACAGGTCGTCAAACTTTTTGTAGAAGCTGTGCCCTCCCTTCCTCCTGCTTTTCAAATGAAACAAAACCGATGGCTGCAGTATGTGGTGAGGATGCTGCAGAGAGGTCGCATCCCCAGTTTCGTTTTCATACCCCTTCATCTCCTGTCCCTGCGGGCTGAGCGTGCGAATCCAGCCGCTAAGAAAAATCTTGTCGAATGAACAAATTTACTGTAATAGTAGGAGACGCTGGTGTGGACTGTGGGTCTGCTTTAGATGGCAGTGACACTGGCTCTGCCCCAGCAACACAATGGGATTATTTCTGATTTTCACCAGCGTAAAGGAGAAGGAGAGCACGCTCCCCTGTCTGCAAGATAAGAGTGAGGTTTTACAGCCTCTCTTGCCTTATCACAATCTCACTCTTTAAATAATACTTTGAAAGCATAATGAACAAGGCCGAGGACACATTGCAATGCCAGAATAGCTTTGCCTCCAGGCGCGCAAGCAAACAAATAAAAAAACCCACCATGCTTCTGGTAGCAAGCACACCTCATATTCCTTGCCAGTGGAAATTCAGACTGTGCTTCTCCATGTGTTGGAGTCAATGATAAATTGTTTATGAACAGATCATTTATTAATTCCTGTTAGGCTAAAATAATTCCTGCCAACATGAAGGTAAAACAAAATTAAAATTAATAATCCCTCTCAAAATTCACAGAGGCCAGAGCAAGAGACCACATTCCCCCGGTCCACAGTTACTATTTTTAATGCAGATACAGTAAATGTATTCCTATATGGAAACCACTCTCCCTAAAGATCAATGTTAAAGTGTCCCTGCGGTGGGCTGCATGGCGAGATTGCAGTGCAGGCTGATGGCTTGGGATGTATTATTTGGTTTGTTTCCACTCCAGGATGCATGTTGTAGACACAAAGTTATTGTAAGCTGAAACCGGGGGGATGGCATTACAGTACATCTGACTGGGAGCTGGGATAAATCAGAGCACCCTGACAGCTGTGACTTACTGAAATGGTCACTCCGCAGAGTTGGCGTTATCTGGTTACAAGCATGTTGATTCTGCTTCATCCACCTCTGCTCCTTAATATAACTCTTCCATCACGGCAAAATGAGCTTTGCATTTTATTTTCATGGCCTATGAAAAAAAATCCCTATCCTCAGATAGGGACAGGGACAGGGACAGCTCTTTATGTTGTTCCCATCAAAACAGGCTAAGAGACATTGAACTGGAAACAGTCCAGAAAAACCAGCAGTGCTGTTATTGTAGCGGCTACAGGTTGTTGTTGTGCTGGGTGCTGCACGGAGATGCCAGAAGAGAGCATCCCCACCGCTGAGAACTGGTGATCAAAACTGGGGAGACACAAGGTATAGGAGGAAGCATAAGCATGCACTATTATCCTTGTTCACGGATGGGGAAACTGAGGCACAGAGCGGTTGTAAAGTGGTTTAACTGACTTGCAAGTCACCCACTGAATAAGAAATTAAATTCAGGTTGCTCCTCCTCCGCCCACCCCTTTGCACAAAACCATCCTTCTCTTGCGCTGCGCTGGGGTCATTGTGTATCCATCCAGCCATGTGACTCGGGATAACATCACTCAGCAGGTTGTGCTAAAAGTAACATGACGCAAAGTCCGTGAACTGTTCCCAAAGAACAATGCATTTGTTGAATCTAGCCTTTTTTTCCCCCTCCGTTTGCAAATCATCTCAGAATAGGCTGTGAAGTTTGCTCATTGTTCGCATGGATTTGATGAGTGTTTTGTACCAGCCCCTGGGGAGCTCACAAACGGTGCGGGGAGCATTCACACCGCGCAGGTCACTGGGAGAGCTGCGTGTTTGGCTCCTTCAACCACATTATCGTGTTTCTCCTCAGGAGCTTTTTATGAGCGGGAGTGGGGCTTCACCAGAGTGGTGGCTCTTTGGGGACTGGCTCGAATGTGCTTAAGGAAGCCAGAGCCAGAGAGAAGCAGGCTTGAGCATCTCATGAAACTAGAACTTCTTTTCTTTCCTCTCTGCTAGGAGGACAGGATAGTCTGGTAGTGGACCTGGAGCCTGGACGTGAAGACAGCTACCTATGAATGAGTGCCAGACCTTCCACACCTCTCCTCGCATCCTCACTGCTGCTCAGGGACAGATGCTCTTCATTAAATGTGTTGATAAAAGAGGGCCAGCACGCTCGGATGAAACACAGTCAAAACATGACGTAACAGGAGACCATTAGCCCTTTCTGCAGACTACACTGGACTGGGCTTTACATTGCTGCTCACTCTCCCCATCGTACAAGTAGAGGCCATCTGCATGATTCAGATACAGAACCATATTCTTCATCCCCTTAGTTCAGGGTTCAGACCTGGGTCTAGTTCAATCTTTCAAATATATCTAAGAGTTGATGGTTGAGAAACCCTTTTAGGTAGCAATTTAATAAGAGCACTGAAATAGGAACAACTCATTTATCTGGCAATCCCAGCGCTGTCTTTGCTCACCCAGTGCCCAGAGCTGGCTCGTTATTGTCCTGCATGATGTGTTATTTTTGAATCATGAATGCATATATTTGTGAACCGTTTATATTCCAGCTGATTGTGAATGCTGTGCCGCTGGTATTCGGTAGCCAATACTTGGTGTCCAAACTGGGCCTGCTGGTTATTATTGGTCAGCTAGATCACATGGTACTACTTCTGCTCCCTGACTGGCAGTGTGTAAGCACACTTCGCGTGAATACTCATGTGCTGCAATGCAGAAATTCAATGGTTGCGCGTGCCTAGGCATGCAAGCAGGACATTTGCTTTCCATGAATCTCCGTGGCTGCCTGATGTACATCCTGAAAAGGGGAACAGAGGCTTGAGCCTCGGCCAGCTGAATCCATGTACAAAATGGGTGAGAAACATTTTTGCAGTGTTTCCCCACTCTGCTCGCCCTGTCTCCATAGGCACGGCTGGCATTTGCAGTCCCACCTCTAGTCTATTTTTTGCTGTCTTCATGGGCTAATGCTAAACCTAGAGACATGTCTTCCTCACTGACGGCTAGAGGGGACACAACTAGAGACGAGAAGGGAGATGGGGAGCTGCAATGCTGCAAGGTGGGCAGTGTTTCCACTGGGAATCCGTTCTCTTTGGCATCTAGAAAGAAAAGAAAGAGAACAGCTGAAGACTCCAGGAAATCCTCATGATTGCCTAATTAACCTGGGAGGCGCTCAGAGACCCCGGGATCAGGGCCAGCACAAAACTGCCAGATTTACAAAGGAATCAATCTCATCTGCTTCCGGCACGTGGGACTGGCCAAATCATCAATGGGCGAAACACAAACACCGGCTCACCAAAGGCAGCCATTGCAGTTGCTCCGAAATCACCAATTTTCATTATGCCTTAAAGCCATGGTTCTCAACCCGCAAGCCGCGAGCCATATGAGGCCCATTCGGCACCCTGCCATGGCCCACGTGGCATCCTGTTAAACCATTTTTTAGACGGAGACACAGGAAGTCAGTTGTGTGGGTGCAGCACATGGAGAGCTGCAAGGGTGGCCCACTATGGCCAATAGGTTGGCAACCGCTTAAAGTATCTACTGATGGATTTCACCCCGTTGTTCATCATTGCAATAGTTGAGCCCCTTCCCTGAAAAACCAGCAGCAATAGTGAAGCCCTGTGCAGTCTTCTTGGAATCTTTGGCTTATCTTCCTTTTTGGGGTAAAACCCCTGCTTGTAGGTACAATTATAAGAGCTGAGCTCTGGGACTCCTCTGCACAACACGCTGGCAGCAAAGGCCTTCCTGCAAGTCGGGACAGGAACTTAATGGTGACAAGGTGATCGTCCTGCAGCCCCGCTCTCGCTAGTCCTTGGGCTCTGGGTGGAGGGAGAGGCATTGCCCATGAAATAGCGCTGTGTTCCCCGGGACCAGGCCCTTGCTTGGCTTTATCTGTTTGGTGCGTGCAGCAGAAGTGAGATGATAGCGATGGATGAGCTTTTTCCTCCGGGTTTAGGTTTCCTGTCAGCTGAGCCACAGATAAACCATAAACACAAAGAGCAAACAAACAATTAGCCTCCCTGAGCCCCAGACACTAAGACACTGTGCTAAAGTTTATAGCCCTTTTCCAGTTTTACTGCCAAGATAAATCTCTCACCACCCGGTGCCCAATCAGCCCCAGTACAAAGGTCTTCTTAAAGCAGATGTTTGAAAGGTTACGTTTAGGGACAACGCTGCAGGAAGGGCATGCGGATACATGGGGACCTGTATGCAAATAATATATGGGCCCTGGATATTTAATGTTTCTACGGTATTTGCAGCTCCTGAAGGATTAGGAATGAGACAGGAGAATGGGTCTGCCCTTGCAAATGGGGTTTCTGTCGTTTGTCCTGCTTCTCGGTGCTCGCGGCTGCCTTGTCACAGCTTTCCACTGCCCCGGTCTTTGTGTCTCAGGCTCACAGAGTTCACACCTCGCCCCTTTTCTGCAAAGAAGACGGCTTCCTCCAGAGGGAGCTGCTGCTATAAAGAGCGGGTCCAGGTGAGGTTTCTGGCTCATTTCATTTAGTTTCTTGGAGGATTTTTCTTTGCCTCCCTCTCAACAACTTGCCTTTGGTTATTTTAAACAACAAAGCAGGAGACGGGAGCAGCTGCTGGGTGTTCAATCATTTTTAATCTGCTAAAGGGAAAGGATTTGGGGGACTCATTTGCTCGCCCGCTCACTCACTTGCTCCTTGTGGTAGTGCTCTCTTCTTGCCTGTGAGAAAGCAAAGACAGGTCATTGCAGACTCACAAATGAACAAGGACGGTTTGGAAGGCAGCTTGCAGATGGACTTTGCTCTCTCTGCTCCATGACCTATGCAACAAGTGCTGGATAAAAGCCATATTACACATGGCTCTGGGCTGGATAAGAGCCATACCCTGCATGGCTCTGGGCACCCCTCTCTCTCCTGGATGCCTTGATGACATGACTGGCTTGGTACGCTGGTGCAGGGAGTCAAGGGGAATTGGTGCTTTGGGTTTCAGCTGTCAGTGGGCCCGTCTACACGAGACACTTAATGCCCATTGGACTAATTCTACTGCGCATTAGTGCAGCTGGCAAACACTGTGCTAATGTGCTAATGCACGCTAGACTAGTCCGGAGGGCATGAAGCGTCACACAAAAAGCGTTCATCCGCGCTAATGCACAGTAGTGCCGATTACGGCACATTAAGTTAGTACCTGCTATTCCAGGCACTAAACTTAACACTCTGTAATAATGGCGCAATAATGAATGTGTAGACATGCCCACTGTGCACATTATAGCTTCTTCTGGACGTACCTGCG